GATGCCTTTTTGCTCGTGTAAAGTATAGGCAGTGGAACACATACATGGTTCAACAGAAAAAAAGGCAGTAGATCGGTTTCAGAGGGACAGATACATCATTCAGGACCATTTTTCTTTAAAAAGTTTCTATTGGCTATTTAAACACAGAGAACTATGTTTAAATGATCAAACTCTTAGAAGAACGTAGATAATTTATCTATATTGTTTTTATATATATACACCATATATGCATGTGTATATACATACATATGCTTGGTATACCCTCATTCCTTCCCAGTTCTATTCCTTTATTATATTTGCTTCCATTCACATCAAATGGTAGTCAAATAAACACCTTCAAGAAGGTAAACTAATTTGACTGTTTAGGTTTCAGTCAGTAAGACAAAGCTATTAAAAAATGAGGTAATAATGAAGCGAAGACACTTAAAATACTCATGTTTTCAAGGCTACAAGTGACATTTGCAGTCAGCTTTCATTTCTGTTTCAGTTTGTTGGAGGAAAGCACCCATTCCTCTCACTGCAAGTGTTAAGAATTTCAACCATTATTATAAAGTTATTATTTTAGTATCTATTTTTAAGTCCAGTCATGCCAAGTGGTACTTATCTTTTGTAATGCAAGTGAGCTGATTGAAGAAACTGAAAACAGATTCCCTTTTAAATTCCATTAAATAAGTGGAAACAGGACTACATGTGTCTCAGGTTATATTAACATTTCATTTATGGAATCAAAATCTTGCAGGATGCATTCAAAATCCACATGATGTCTTGAGTGCTAAAGTTTTCAAGAGGATCTGTACATTAGCAAATACATAGGCAATGTAAGAATACAAGTTTGGCCACAGATACAGCAGCTAGTAACACAAAGACTGAGGCTACTTCACCTAATGGTAAGAAGAGAAACTGATTTGGCTTTAACAGTAGTTTGCTCATCACTATGCCAAAAGAATTAAAAAACAAGAGGTGAGGGGAGTTCTCCAATATAACTGCAACCCTCTACAACATACAACATTTGGCTAAGGGGTATTGGGACCAGACGGCTTTTTCTAAAGTAACTGGAGCCTAGCAGAATTCAAGTTACATATTGTCTGCTGCAAATAAATATTATTGTCTTAAGTATTTGCACTACAGTAACTACTGTACACTTTTACATACCAAAGTAAACAGCATCAACTTCACAATAATCACCCCAAACATTCTTACCAGTGTTTTCAACAAAAAGGCTCGACTTACTGTCAATGTCACAGCACTGAGTGTCCAAACCCTGGCTGTTAAAGTAGGTATAACTGGCATAACAGACAAGTTCTAGTATAACAGTCAACTCAAAAATTTGTAAAAGTTATAGTGAGCTGCACACAGGAGGAATATCCTCCCTATCCAACACAAAGTATACATTTCACACAACCCTGGGGTTAGAGGAAAAATGCCAGGTCTGACCCTTACAGCAATCAAAGGCATTTCCAAAAAAAAAAAAAAAAAAAAAGAAAAAAAAGTTGTCTGAAGTAGATCAGAGGTATTGCTGAAGGAGGCTGAGTAGCAGCAACAAGCAGTACACACAGATTAATGGGCTTACAGAAAAAGCGTACTAAAAATCAGACTGTGTTGAGAGTACATCAGCTCTTCTCTTCTTTTACTGGAATTTCTCTCAATACTAATTTGTTTTGTTCTCCACCACTTTCATTTCACTGAGAAAGTACTGGGCTATTACCAATAAACAATAGTCAAAACAAAGGAAGTTTTCTTTCTTATTTCTGTTACCTCCTCTCTCCTCCTAAAGAGATAACCATACGGCAGCATAAAAGCATCAAATACTTTTTTTTTTTTTTTTTACTTTCTTTAGTATTTATCACCTTAGTGTTTAGTTGTACAGAAGGCAGTTTAGCTAATCTGTTCTTTATGCAATTTACATTGCTATACAGATAAACCTTTGAGGAAATTTAAAGTTAATGTGCCTTCCATTTTCCCGTTCCTGAAATGCATCATTGTATCCATTATCCTTCTGTTTTTCAGACAAGTCCACAATACTATGCAGCTGTTCCAAGATCAAACAAATCAAATATTCTATGAGCTGCGTTTTCTCACTTTAACAGAGGTATCCCTTGTTAGACTAGATTCATTTCCATGCATTGCATTTTGTCCAGCACTCTGCTCTTCAAATGTAACTAAAACCACCTTCAGGCTGACCACTAGCCTCAGACTTGCCAGTAGGTATTTGACATGGATGTTTGTTAAATGTTTTGAACCACAAAATTTCACAAACTGCATTGGCTTGAGCAGTTCACAGGCTTCTGTAGTGACAGCAAAGCTTTCTCCTACGAAGCGCTGCACTGCATCCGTACAGCCACAGAGCATCTTCCATATGCATTCTAGTTTGCAACTTTCCCAATGTCTGTGGTCCTGGCAAACACACACATACGTCCTTAAACTTCCTGGGATTACACTAAGGTTTTGGTTGGTTTCTTGTTCTTCCAATCTCTCACTAACTTTCCTTCCTGTACCACTACCAAACTGCAAGCACTTGCTCATCGCACTCCTTCCAACCATACAAGCTTGCTGTGGCCCCAATCCTCTTCTCACTTTACATGCAAGCTAGAAATAACAAGAGGCTGCAAAAAGAACTGACAATCTTTTCACCTTCCCAGTAAGCAGCCTAGCACTGGTGAGGTTGCTTCAAAGAGTGCCCCTACCTCAACTGTGAGCCAGAATTCAGCAGAGTCACCTAAATTTTTCCCAGTCTGACAACTGGGTAGAAAAGCGTTGAATTAAGTTTTCAAATGCTCAGTAAGAATTTTAGTTGGGATCAAGAGGAGCATCCATGTGTCTTAAATCGTAGTCACCTATTCAATGCTAATACTCTTCAAAAAGAAGTTGTTCTATATATGTTTAAGTAATGTTGACAATAGATGAGGCAGGTAACAGGTAAGTATAAGCTCATTGAGAACAACATCTTACCTCATTTCTGATTTCCCATCTGCTATAAAGCTGCACTTTGAAATCATGGAGGCAAGCAATGATGCAGTTGGCAGGAGGTGAACAGTGCCACATGCCGCAGAAATAGCAAAGTCTAACATTTTATAATATATAATAGGACAAAATGAAGTATCTGTTAAATAACAGGCAGTCTCTGCCAGGAAGAAAGCCACTGAATGCTTCCTGTACGGAAAGCTGAAAGATGAAAGCATACTTGAAACACCCAGAAGAATCACAGCATTGAAAGCTGGTCCTGTACTCAGATTGACGAAGGAATTTTAGTAAAATCCCAACTTTTTCCTATCAGATCACAGCAGACATCCACAAACCCAAAATCACCCATATGGACTGATGTGACTATGTCGTACAAAATTCCTGGAAAATTCTTCCACTGTAAAACCCTGGAGTCACTTCTCACACATATATCAAAATGCTCCCCTAAGCTTTCTAATACAGTCTGACATCTTATGTATCATGAGATGAAAACAGTTTCTCAATGCATGTAGCCTGACCAGCCTTGCAGCATCACAAGGGAAAGGAACTAACTTTTCTCCATCAGCGAATATCCTCAGCCATAGGGTAGACTACAAAGTGTTAAACCTAACATCAGATCTACCCAGAAAGCAAGTAGTTAGGAAATAAACGCAAACGTATCCAAAACTGCTATATCAAAACTACTGTCCAACCATTTCATCCATCAAATAACTACCTTATAAATATATCCATCTGTTTCAAAACTTAAGTAAACATATTTAAATAAATTTTAATGTGTAAGAACAGGAGCTTCTGCGAAGTATTGACCCCTTCATCAGAAATTGAACTCAAATTCAATTATTGTTATTGTAATCCATCAAGCATTCCTTGGTCTGCAGAAACAAAGCTGCTGTACATAAATGACATGGTTTGTTAACCATGTAGCAGCACAATATATTTTAGTAGCTTGGGGGTTCTCTCACACATTCAAATTTTCCACCTCACAGCATTAAATTTAGTTACGTAACAATGAACTTCTGCCCTCATGTAACTTGTTCGCCTGAATCTCCTGCAACTATCTGCTAGGTATAATGAAATTTTACAAAGGCTTTTTAAAAGACATTGTTTCATATAACAGTCACAGTCACAAAAACAGACCTTAGGGGGAAAAAAAAAAAAAAAAGTCTCTAATTTTGCCACATTAGTATAGAAAAGGAAAAAATAGGGAGAGTCTTTGAGGAAAGCTGTGCTTGCTGATGCAGCACAAACTACTAGAACAGCTACCTCATGTATTGCAGACAAACAATTCTGCACCATTTTCAGTATTTTTCAAGTTTTGCAACTACAATATCTTAAAAAAGAACAAACAGATTGTTTTCATGAAGCCTCTACATTCAAGTCTCAGATTTAACTTATTTTTTTTTTTTTAAACTCTACATGGAAAAGACAAGAAAATGGAAGAGACTCTTACGTTTTCAACATTACTTAAAAGCAAAAGTAGAACAAGCTTTAACACTCCTTGCCTGACTCTTCCTAGTATTAGAAATACTGAAAGACAGAAATTAATACCTTACATTTTAGTCACATTTACATATGTATATCCATTAGTGGAAAATAAAAAACTTACAGGAATCGGAATGTAACAAGGGACTTTGTTTTTCACACACAGGCAAAAATTCCCATCTCTCATATAAATTATCATGTCACAGTCAGCACAGACCAGACGAGTAAAGCCTGTAATTGATGCAGTAAAGTTTCCAGCAATATAAATAAACCATTAACTTGAAACAACACTGACCTCTAACCACTTAGCAATCATATCTCAAAGAGGCTTGATTTGACTTTGTGCTGCCATTCACCTGAAAAAACAAAACTTACGTGCTTTTAAACTGTGAATCTTAAGAGTTACTTCCATACTTGCTGCTTAATGTAATAAAATTAGTTACAATTGATCTAATCTCCAACTAGAGAAAAAATCCTGAAGTCTTATTAAACAAAATTTGTTATATACCATGAAGTGCACTTATGCAGAAAGGTAACAATGTCATCTTGATGCTTACCCAATCATTGCGTTTTCTTTAATCTGGCCTTCTGTGCCATTTACCATTGGTTCTTGATTTCTGTTTTCCTTCTCTGAAGAATCACTTGAGAGGCCCAATAAAGCTCGTACTCGTTTTGACTTCACATCCAATATTGTGTCGGTGTAGCCCACTTCTTGTAGATACCTGCAGGAACAGAACTCATGCTAATCTTCCATGCACATCTCACTCAAAACAGTAAATGAAAAGTTCTCCCTAAACTCATCTTCAACTCCTTAGCTTAGCAAAGGACGGTGCTGTGCTAATGAAATATGCTTATAAATCATTCTGTACCAGCTGCAGAGGGATTGCCTCTTGTAGTACCAGCCTCTACAGTCACTGAGAAAAAAAGAGGGGGAAAAAAAAAAAAAAAATCAAAGCGCCTAGCAGTCAGAGGTTATACAATACGTTATTCATTCATTTACTAAAAAGTATGGAAAAGCACTTTCGATTAAAATATTTATAACAGGCTCATAAAAATCACCACGGTTCCATGTACATATGTACATGGCCATTTTATTCTTCAACACATGGAAACTATACATGAAGCCTTACAAGAAGTATCAGGTATGTTCCTTACATAAGCATTATTAGAAACCTAGAAAGCACAGGGAATAAAAACAAATTCTATAGCTGTAACTACTAGCAAGAGTTGTTATTTATAACACATTAGGTTTGATAAAATCTTTGTCTTTCTTTTCCCTGTCCTGCAATGGAACTGCAAAATATTAATGTATCTTGCATATATGGGCTGGGCAGCAAGAATCCTGGACTAGCCTCTATGAAAACTTTGGGGTCTAAAGTTGGCTCTTTCATCAATATGCCATATCGCCCTTAGGGGAAACTGGGGGAAAATAATAATTTTAAGTTAAAAAAAAAAAAATATATATATATATACACATATATATATATTTAAAATAGGTCTCTGCCGTTTCCTCTAGAATATGGAATTAATAGCACTGTCTTCTCATGAGCAGTGGACAGATTAAATGGTCAATATTCTAGAGGACTCTAAAGACAGGAAATGTTATTTTACAATAACAGCTGTTACAAGTCAAGGACATGCACTTTTTCTGCAAGAACACTCTCCTCCAATTATTTAACAATATCCTCCACATAATCACATTAGAAGATAAAATACTCACTGTGGGCTATATAAAAATCAAACAAGTCACCTATGCAAAACAGTCCGTCAGTAATACACACCCTGTATTCAGCACTGTGTTGCTTGTTTATGAATTGTGCTGAGAAGGAACGACTTGTCTTCAAAATCACTGATCTAAGTCAAGACCATTTTATTTACATTTATTCAACATACATGCAAAGATTTCAGCTCTTGCAAAACAAAAGCATGTACAAGCCACCCAACAGAAAAAAATTAACTTTTCTGTAATTCCTTGGAAAAAGGTCCTTTAATATAAGCTCCAGGCTGTCCTTACTGTGTCCCTCCCCTCTCATTTAATTCTCTGTAACACACCAAAAAAAAAAAAAAAATAAAAATAAAATAAAAAAAAAAAATCAGAAAGCAAACGTTTTACTAGCTGATTAGAAGACCTTAGAACCTAACTACCAGCACAGAAGATGAGGCAAATGTATGAAAAAATTATAGAGACCTCTTAAATTTAAACCAAGAGTTGCAACCAATGCAAAAAACCCATAGAAAAATGTGACCAAATATCTTGGAAATCAATTAACTCATTATGATAATAATTCAAAAACCAATTTAGGTTAACAGATACTTGCTTCATTGAGATGAACTGAGAATTAGAATACTTCTAGTCTAACCTTCTAGATATTAGTCTTTTCTGCACCTTGAGCAGGCCAAAATATAACTTGTCCCTCTCCAACACCAGTTATTTTTAATTTTACATAGCTCTTAACAGAATTACTGGTGGTGTTTTTTAATTGCAAAAAGAATTGCAAAGTGTCATGACCCACTGTTCTCCCAAGCAGATTGTTTTATATACTCAGTGAAAGAAAAGCAAAAGAGATTAGGAGTTTGTGATTTGACAAGGCTTCTCTGAAATTCTGAAATATTATTTTAAAACAAACAAACAAAAAACCCAAAAAAACCCAAACAACTAGGAAAAGTAGGGCAAAAGCTGAACGAGCTTCATCACACACACTAACTTTTCTTGAAAAAAAAATCAAATACCACCAACATCACATTTCATTACCAGATTCTTTCCCTTGCATTTGAGTCATTTTTTCAACACTTACTGTCTTAGCAGCTGTCGTCCTTGTTTCCATATTAGCTGACTGTTCCGTTGTGGCTGAATTTCGGTCTCATTCCCTTCATCTGGAAAAGATTATTTAATTATGAACATTTTTTTTTACTTGTCCTACTTTTTAAAAAGATGCCCATCTACTTGAAAAGACAAACATGTTTTGTCTTAAAATGATTAGGAATGGTTTCATAACAAGATAAAAGATTCAAAGTGCCAATAATCAATCATGAGAGGAAAAAAAATGCATATAGCACATAATTGTAGTACTATGTACACATAAAGATTGTCAAGTACGTCCTACCGTATGAGAGCAATTTCCACTAGTCATCAGTGCCTTCCCTTCTGTCTCACATCCAGAAGCCTCATCTTACTCCTTTTTTCTTTAAGAGCACATGATCACATAGACAATTTGGAGTTCCATTTTTGCATTAACCTTCCAATATAATTGCTGATCATAATTTAAGTTTGAAGACAAACATCTTTAAATGCTAACAATATCAAATGCAACTGCAGTGTGATTTCTATTTACAACTTACTGTCCAACTAATTTCCTTAATATTTGACTGTTGAACATAAAACAGACCTACTCACATCAGCTTTAAAGTCATCCATATTTGTATTAGTTTTGTGGAAGGAAAAAAAAAAATACAGCAGGGGTTGTTTGCTTATTTTTCCAACCTGAAAAGCTGTTGAAAAATTTTCACATTTTCCACAACCATAAATTTGTATCCCAACAGTACTTATTCCACAAAAATCCACAAAAAAATTACGTTGCTATTCTGGTGAGAAATCTATCTGAACACTGGCAACTAACAGCTACACATTTATTCCACTTATAGCTTCATACTACATGATGGCGGGGGTTTTTCCCCTCCCCCAGGAGATACATAAGCATGTGCTTCCTAAGATAAGAGATCTTCGTTTATTATCTATGAAAGCCTCTAAAAAACTTGAAACCCTTGTGGTCCAAACACTGAAGGATGAACAATCTTCTTGTGTAAACAACAATTAGGAACCAGAAAAACGTGTGGTATAATCCTATGAGTAACTTAACATCTGATGTGGGAAAGCTATTGTCCTTACCAGGAAGTCATTCACCTTCTAAACAACTGAATTAACACCACACACACAAGCCACACCACCCACCCCAAAAATCTGTCAAAGACTAATCAGAATTCACAGGCAAGGAGAGCCACAGGAATTTTATCCATCTCAAATTCACAAATCCATTTAATAGCAACCATAGGAAATAATCAATTGCACAATGATTTTCTGACAACAACTGAACACAGCTGGACCCAATGCACAACTACCAAAGCTCAGTCTGTAAGAGCTGAAACATGACAGATACACATGCCTGAAAATTCCTTTTGAAAGCAAAAACTCCTCTTCCAAAGGCACTATTAAGTACATCTACAGGCAACAATTTTCTTCTGCTTAGTCTCCTCAAAACTGGTGACCACTAGCAGTAACAGCGGTTTACAGATGAGAGTGAAGGGACTTGTGTTATGAGCAAATAATAGCAGAAGATATCACAAGCAGTCAAAAAAAAAAAAAAAGGCATCCCTTTATCAGGAGATTGAACTCTTTTCTTCTAAACTGTATTACTGACACCTCAAGAGATCATAACAAAAACAAAGACCCATCTGGAAGAACTAAGAACCACATTTTTTCCTGACTGGGCATGAAAAACATGGGCAGGGAGGAAAGACAGGGACATACAAGTAAGTATCTATCAAAGACAACTCCAAAGGAACATGATACAGTTTCTATTTTAAGTGTGTATCTTTAATCAGTCCAGATTCGATACAGAACAAAAGTGTACATTTCTGACAACTACATATATAGAATGCAATGGGATAAATCATGCTAATGGAATTTTACAAAGGCAATTCCACTAACATTCGCTTTGCAGAAGTAATGCACTGGCTGTGGCTCTGCTGGGCAAGCCAGGCCTTGCACTACATTCCTCAGCTGGAAACTGAAGCAACATGCTACAGCTGCATCCTGAACAAATACAAAACCAAAACATTTTCTAGCGGTCCAGATTGAGGTCTTCTATTTAGTAACACCAAATTAAACTATTTCTTCAGTTAAGGAAATAACCTTGATAATAACATGAAATAAAATTTCACAAAACCTCGTATCTTGGACAAAAAGTCCAAGAAAAGCCTGGTGTAAAGTTGCATCAGTTGGTGTGGGGTTGGATTTTTTGTTTGGTGAGGTTTTCTTTAACACCTTCTGAATACAGTAAGATAAGAATGAACATGACAGTAAACCAGACCATTGCTTCCACAAACCAAGAGACAGAGCTGAGGTCTGCAGATTTTCTATATTCTTCCTTTATGTACATGTGTTTCTAGTTTCATTGCTGTAGTAGGAGCATCAGGTAATCATCATCTATTACTTCTCCTTCCAAGGGCTTGACCTATAACCATATCTCTGTACCCCTTCTTTATTTTCTGAGGAAAGGATAGGGAAGTAGAGGGGTGAAAGGAAGTAATCTAAACTCTTAATTCCTCAAGTTCATTGCTTAAAACTATTTGCGTGAAGTAGGAGATGCAACCTCTAAAAAAACAAATCAGCTTTCCAAAGACCAAGCTGAAAATCTGTCGTCTCACAGCACAGCACTGACTTTAGTTGTATGAAATTCTAATGATCATTGGAACTTCGTAAATAAATTCCCTACTCTCAAACTCTCTCTTATGTGTAATATACACTTCCGTTATTTCTCTCCTGGAATATCATTGAGGTAATTGAACAAAAAATTATGTACTATACATTTCATGTCCTTTGCCATTAACTTTTTATTCAGAAGAATATTCAAAAAACCAGAAGGATTCTATAGCTATACATCTAGTTTCTCCCTGTTCCAAAACATCCATACACACTAGTAAGGAAGACGAAAACTATTCTCTTCAGGAACAGTTCGTTGGTTTGGGGTTTTTAAACCTAAATTAAGTTTGATTTATTAATAAACTCTTTCAGAGCATTAGCTTATATTTTTAATTTTACAAGAGTAAAATACAGTCTTTATCAAATTATCTCTATTCCCACTGCTTCCATTAAGCAGCTTGTTTTACCAACACTATCATTCCAGCATTTGCACAAAGCACAGTTAAGCTTTTACGCCAGTAATGAACTCATTCTTAATAAATTCTTACCAGAATCATAGTTTGGCGCCTTCATATCTCCCTGATTCAATTCTGTGCCATATTTTAATTTGTGATATTTAGCCCTGAAAGAAAAAAAAATAAAGAAACTATTAGCACATGTAAAGGGTATCTCTAACACATAAATGTCACCTGTCTTCACTTGAAAAGCCCCTCCTTTCT